AAATAATAAAAATATAAATTCCTCCTCCACTGGATTCATTACCTATGCTAACCTACCAAACTAGGAAGCATATACAGAGTTCAGCCATACAACCCAAATCCTATCCTTATTTTGGAAATTATCTTTTGGAAACACTAGCACAGAATTAGAGGAACTAGGCATGGATAAAGTCAAATACATCAACATTGCTTACTGCATATTTGAAACATTGTTGCTTTTACTAATACATCATTGTATCCCGAATGTCATATATCTCAATAATCTGCTTTCTTCGTTGTTTTAGGTAGCCATTTCCTTCCCAATTCCCTCTCTTTGCTACACCTTTTTTCCTCGCCATTCTCTTTTCCCAAAATGTATAAATCCCTCACCACAGTCATTAGATCCTCCATGGACACTACCTGTAAAAACATTTTCTCTATTTAACTGTCAACCTTAATTTCTATAAATCAGGAACTACTAACATAATTACACCAACCCAATTTGGATTGGGAAAATAAAGAAAGGGGGTAAGGTACTTGATACTTCACTGCCATTTCATAGGGACATCATTATAATCATACATAACATACGGAAGTGAACAAGTTTGAATCCCCCATTACAAAACCTGAGACAACAATTGCGATGTGATTTGGAAAAAAAATTCCAGACAGGGACATCATTATAATCATACATCAATCATGTAACTAACGGGCATAAGCCCACCTCTAATTTATGTAAAAGAGATCATTTTACTTCTATGCTTATTTTGCATAATGATTTTCTGCATCCCTTTCATGTGTCAAACACTACTAATGCGGAATATACTTACTACATTTTTTTCTTTTTCACAACAGCGCACAGCATACAAATGTTGAAGGTGTTACTCCAATTTGGAAACTTGAATTATGCAAATAATGATTGCAATAACCTTTTCCCTATTTGGATTGACAATGTTAACATCTATCAAAATCTAGCCAAAAGAAGCATTATTAAATTTGTTCAATGTTCGCGAGCTTATACAATTCATCTCATTTTGTGTTCCTAGGATCGTCCAGTAGATCCAAAAGGAACTGCGAACGCAAGAGCTTAGCCTCTTCTTGTATCATATAAAAAGTATACAACACTATGTTATGTAATTTACACATTACGACGCATGCAAAAACAACTTTCAATAAATAACCCAACTTACATGAAAGGTACTTGATAATTCACTGCCATTTCACAACTCTATGTACCTTATGACGAACAACCCACAAGTATGTCTAACATCCAATGAATAAATTATACATATAATTAGTGACTTGTAGAATAATAAAATATTAAAATTTTAATCACATATTTCATTAAATAGTTATACTTACAATTAAACTATACATACGCATCATTCTAAAGTGGTATTTTATTTGAAAGCTTTGTTTTGTACGATTGCCACTTTTCCCCTACTGCAAACTCAACGAATTGCTTCTGTCATACATAACATGATCCGATTTACGATTCTATTCAATACTTTGTTTCAAAAAACATGTATTGATTAATATAATATCAGTAGAAGACATACATTAAAAAAATAGAATGAGTAAGCATAGAGTTGTACCACGAAATTGGCATACATAGTGTATTTATATGGTCGGTCCAATGAACATAGGTAATCAACTGAATTATTCAGCCGGTTGACGACGAGCAAAAACCAATGACTCTCGACAATTGCAGGAAAAAATACTTTGTTATAGTGAATGAAAATGAAGTAAGGACATACAAGACTGCACATACAGATGACTGAAATAAAATAAATGACAAACAATGAAACAAACCAGATCACACTTCTTTAGCATGTTTGAATCGATATTCGCATGCTTTCTGTATTTTTCCCACACTTTTTTTATCGCTGCCCGCCGCTCCTCAATAGTTTTATACTTCACCAATTCTTTTGCCACAAGGAACTGCACGGCTGTACATGGGAAATAGTACTTGGTCATACCTTCTCCTTGTTGTTTATTCAAAACATTAGCCCAAAAAAGTATGACCTGAAATAAGTAAACGCTTATATTCACTAACTATATTCATAATAATAAAGATTAATTATAAATAACATGTGATTACAATCACTCACCAAGTTATCAATCCAATTCGGGTCAAACAATTGACCTATCTCCGTCTACAAAAGGGCCCCACCATACATTTATACCAATATTTCACTGCACACATTAATTATAAATAATATATTCATTCCAATGCAATATTATATTAATTAAAAATAAATGAAGATGAAAATATTAGGATACAAATACAATTGTAAAGGATTTTAACAAGTGTGTGTTGCAATTACTCTTCAGGAAGCTCACGCGATGCCGCATAAGTCAACAATTTCTTCTCCTTCATGCCCAATCGGATCTTCTTACCTCCCTTATACACAAACAGAGAGAAGTAATATTTTATTCATTTTTTTGTCCTCTTACTTCGTCTAAGATTTGCCAAGACTTCATCCTCTCCTATGTCCAGAACATTAATGGCATTTTCAGGGCCTACAACATTTATATTTGCCTAACTATTGGAAGCTGCAACTGCTGTTGCACTTAAGTCCTGCTCCATAGCCATGGTGACAACCGTATCAACCTCATCCTCTCCTATGTCCGGAACATTAATGGCATTTACAGGGCCAGCAACATTTATGTCTACCTGACTATTGGAAGCTGCAACTGCTGCTGCACTTAAGTCCTTCTCCATAGCCATAGCGACAACCGTATTGACCTCTTCCCTTTGTTGGTCATTCATTTTAGGGTTGGTGGTAGGAGTAAGGTGGCCTACATCTCTCTCGAATACCTCCCCATCAAATGATTCCCCCTGGCCAGCTATTTCTTTATCCTCCCTATCCTCTTTATCTCTTGGTTCAGTAAACTGTTACTCCTCACCTCTACAATTCTTTTTTAACTTCTTCTTCATTAAAGTCTCTATTTCCTTAACATTTCTCTTCAACATTGTTGGTCCTGAAGTCCCTTAAGCATTGTTTGCCTTTTTAATGTCAAAAATCTATGTGGCAGTGGCTTTAAAGGGCTTTTTCATTATCAATATTGCTTGAAATAAGTCTCAAGGATAGTGTGGTCATTTTCTCATCAGTGATTTATCCTTCATATTTGTCTTAATGTATTTATCATAACATATCTACCTGTTCTAGCTGAAATTGCTAAATTTTGTGTGGACTCAGATCATAAAATTGTCACAAATGGTTTCAAGGGTAGCATTATCATTTCTCAGCTACATTCTATATATATACAAATGCTCAGGATGCTGCATTGCACTGGATTGACCTGATTGAATCTGCATTACCATTTATACAGTCTTAGGACTTTTGTTTTGCTGAGAAGTTGAAAATCTGTTGTAAGGGTATTTTGGTACTTTCTTACTATGCACATGAGTGTGACATGTTCTAGTGGTCCTACATTAAGTGAATATGCAAGAATATTACATTTCTTAGAGGTTAAGTCTTGAGCTGAATGGAGTGCACAGCCTTGTAGTGTGTATGTATGAATTTCAGTATGCATAGTGACAAAAATGGTGAGGTGGCCTTCTGTAATTGGTTCTTGCTCCTGAAAATATCTGCATAATGCTGTTCCAATGATTAGCTAAAGGTGACAGGTGTATTCTGAAGGTGTATGAAGTTTTGTGCATTGTATGGCTTTATATATATATGCTATAATAGCTTCTTTAGGGTTAAGGTCCTTGAGTGAGATGAAAAACTGAGCTACAACCAATATTCTCTCAAGATTATTGAATGAACTTGATTCACTAAGTGTATTTATAATGATTTATGCTATAAAATCTCTCTAATTCAAGCTTTGCTGAAGTATTTTACTGAGGAGATGTTGTTGCTGTTGTTATTACTGCTGCAAGGGTTGGATTGAGTAGTGAATTTGAGTTCAAAGGTATTGTGGTCGAGTCTAAGGGCTGACATAGGTATAATTCACTTATTTACACTTGCTCAGTACAAAGCTTTGTTGAAAAACCTGCTGAAATCAAACTTGGACAGTAAGCCCATCTGTGTTGTTTGATTTGCTGACAAATTCTTGGATTTAAGTACTATTTGATTATGTCTTGCTGTATTATGAGTTTTTGATCTTCTAGCAAGTATATTTTGATGAATCTAGTCTGTTGAAGTTAAATTTGTGATAGTATTTTGGTTAGCTGCAATTTTCAGTATTCAAACCTTAAGACTTAAACTGAGTTTTGCTGAACCAAGGGCTGCTATGAACTTTGTGATCATATCATGCTACAATTCATTATTTTAAGTTATGATCATGAGTACCATAGTGAATGAAGACTGAATATGATGCTATTGATTGATTCTCGAAAAGAAATTCCCTTTTCACCCTTCAAGTACTAATTGCTGCAAATTGATGTTATGAAGTGGTAATTTGGCATTCTGAGTTGTCTAGCCTATTTCAATTGAAGGAAGGGCTGGTGTTTATTGTATTTCATATACTTTGATGTATTTGGTGAGCTTAGAGAGCTTGTTTGATCCTGGCAGGGTTGCCTTGGACAGGGGGAGTGTGTGTATACACTTAGTTGAGCTACTGTGTGAGTAAAGTGTGTGAAAACTGGGGTCTACTTCTATGACAAGGGTACGTGCAGAGAGTGAGACAGCTGAGTGTGTAACAGCTTACTTGCAGCTAGTGGATGATTGAATTGGCATTGGCCAAGAACCAGGTTTTCCCTAATTAAGAGGGTTTCCTTGTAATTTCTATTGCATTGTTCATTGCTTATTGTTTTGACTATTGTTAAGTTATTTTTGAAAGAAGGTTTTGACCAATTCACCCCCCCTCTTGGTCTAATAATTGGTATCTGAGCTTTGGTCTGCTGTGTAGGGTTCTAGCAAGCCTGCAGTTGATCTTAGAAATGGATGAAGGCCAAGCTACAAACAAAGCTCCAGGGTTCAGTGGTGTGAACTATGATTCATGGAAAATCAGAATGGAAGCATTCTTAATGTCTTACTCTTATGATGTTGGCATGCTGCTGTGAATGGAATTATGATTCTTAATCCTGAAAATCCCTCTGAAGCTGATAAAATTGTTGTGGCTAATGATGGTAAAACTAAACATGTTATTTACTGTGCTTTGAAGCAACAAGAGTTCACTAGAGTCAAGAATTGCAAGTCAGTTAAAGAAATATGGGACTCTCTTCAGGCTGCCCACGAAGGAAGTACTGTCATTAAAGAAAACAAGATTCAGCTCTATAATGTTCAATATGAAGCTTGTAAGATGGAGGAAAAGGAAACTGTAGCTGAGTATTTGTTTAGGATCAATGACATTGTCAACAATATGAAATCCCTTGGTGAAGACATTAAAGACTCTGATGTTTGCAAGAAAATACTTAGGTCTCTTACACCTAGATTCAATGCAAAGGTTACAATTCTTGAGGATAAAGACTTATCTTAAATGAAGATTGATGATCTACAAGCTTCTCTTACAGGCTATGAAATGAGAATTGGGACTCCAACTATTCAAATAAGAGAAGCTGCACTTAAAGCCAAAGAAGTCACTGAAGAATCTGAACCAAAGTCTGAGGAAAATGATCTTAAAGAGGATGAAGTGGCCTATCTATCAAAGAAGTTCAAGAAATTCAGATTTAAGAAGAGAATTCAATCTCAAAATCTAACTTGTTATGGTTATGGCAAGCCTGGCCATTATGTCTCAAGTTGTCCAACTTCAAAAGGGCAAAACCAGAGGAAGAAAGAAGGGGGAAAATTTAAGGGAAGATTTGGAAAAAAGGCTCTCATTTCAAAGTGGGATTCAGTTTCTGAAGAAGATAAACCTAAAGAATCAAAAGAAGATGAATGTTTGTTTATGGCTATTCTTAAAACACCACAGACAGTAACTGAAGTTGAAGAAGATAGTGAAGGCAGTGACTTCGAGATTGAAGAAATACTTGAAGAATGTGAGAGACTTGCTGTGAAGTGCAACCAACAAAAGCCTCAGCTGAAAGCCCTCAATTCTGAATTGCAAAAATCCAAACAACTTCTTGTTAAACACTTCAAACTTAAGCTGTCTACCTTGTGTTTAATTTCTCTTATCTTCTCAAGTCTAAAGAAGTCTCAATCCAACACTGAATGGTTAACCAAAAGATATAGAGAAGAACTCTCACTGATTCTTGAAGAAAGGTCTTTGAAAATGGCTGAGATTTGGAAGCAATCCACAAAGAAATTTGGGAAGACAGGAATTGGTTACATCTATGACACTGCAACCAAGGTTAAACAAAATCACACTATATTTGTTAAGGCATCCTCAGGAAAAGTATATGCAAGATTTCCAATTATAAAATCCTCGAGAACAAAGTATGATTTACTTGACAACTTTTACAGCAAATCAAGGTTAAATAAAAGTGATTTTGTCACATCATCTTTCAGGAATTACAAAGTTACCAAAATGTATGTGAAGAAGTCTGATATAACTCTAGTTCAGAAAGTTAAGAATAACAGATCTCTTGTGAAGTCTAAGATGATGCGTATACCAAAGAGAATGAATGTTGTGAGTATGTTGGTGTATACAGCTTTCAAAGCTGATAACACAAATGACAAATGGTATGTTGACAGTGGCTGCTAAAGACATATGACTAGAGATGGTTCCAAGTTTATATCTCTGGAAAACTTTGATGGAGGAAATGTCATCTTTGGAGATAATCACAAGGCCAAGATAATTGGCATTGGCACTGTGAGTAAGTCTGATGAATTACCTGAGATCAAAGAGGTATTACTTGTGGAAGGCCTCAAACATAATCTGGTAAGTGTAAGTCAACTATGTGACAATGGGAAGAAAGTCTGTTTTGATAAAGAAAGGTGTAATGTTGTTGATATTGAATCAGAAAAAGTCCTATTCTCAGCTTGCAGATCCTCTGGAAATGTGTACATAGTCTCAGAAGAAGCCACTTACTGCAATTTAACCTCTCTAGATGAAGCTATACTGTGGCATAAGAGACTAGGTCATCTTCACTAAAAAAAGTCTAATCAAAATCCTGAAGTTGAAAGCTGTGAAAGGTCTACCTGATTTAAAATTCAGTGATAATCATCTATACAAAGCCTATCAACAAGGTAAACAAACTAAAGTGTCATTCCCTTCCAAAGAAATCAACACATCCAGAGCTCTTGATTTGATACATATGGATCTCTGTGGTCCTACCGGAACTACAAGCATTGGTGTAAGTAAGTACTTTATGCTACTCATTGATGATTTCAGTAGAATGGTGTGGGTTTACTTTCTGAAAGAAAAGTCTGAGGCTATAACACACTTCATTAAGTTTGTGAATCTTGTTGAAAATGAAAGAGGTTGTATTATGAAGAAGCTTAGATATGATTTTGGTTCTGAGTTTACAATGAGGGAATTTGAAAGTTATTGTGATGTAAAAGGTATCAAGAAAGAGTTCTCAGTTGTAGCTACTCCTCAACAAAATGGGGTTGTGGAAAGAAAGAATAGAACTGTTAAGGAAATGGGGAGAAGTATGCTACTTGAAAAAGGTCTTACAAAGGGATTTGGGATGGAGTTGTTAATACAACTATGTATATCATCAACAGGGTACTTCTTAGGCCTAATTCATGTAAAACTCCTTTTGAACTATGGTATGAGAGACCTACAACAGTTCATTACTTTAAAGTGTTTGGCAATAGGTGTTTCATTCTTAATCATATAGAGAGCTTAGGAAAATTTGATTCCAAGGCTGATGAAGGGATATTCTTGGGATACTCTACAAAAAGCATGGCTTACAGATGCTACAATCTCAGATCCTCCAAGGTTATTGAATCAATTCAAGTAAAATTTGATGAAACTCCTCAATTCAGCATCAATGATGACAGTAGTTCTATACCAGGATCAACAGAAGCCAGTCCATCTCATTCTATTCAAGGGTTAGATAAGTCTGTTAAATCCACTTTAGGACTTAATGATCATAGGGAAGTCATTTATCCAGGATTACAAAAATAGGTTCAAGCTGAAAACACCATTGGTTCTCCTCAGGCTGGTGTTCAAACAAGAAACAAGAAGAAACTCACTGAATTAGAAGCTAATAATGGTGAAGAATATAGTCATTTTGCAATGTTATCCTCTATTGAGCCAAAGTCCTATTCTGAAACACAGAAAAGTGAACATTGGATTGTTGCTATGAAAGAAGAACTTGATCAAATTCACAAGAATGACACTTGGACACTGATTCCTAGACCTGCAGCTAAGAATGTTATTGGTTCCAAATGGATTTACAGAAACAAACTAGATGACAAAGGGACAATTATTAGAAACAAGGCTAGATTGGTGTGTAAAGGATACTCTCAACAAGCTGGTATTAACTATGATGAAACTTCTATCCCAGTTGCTAGGATAGAATCCATTAGAATGCTCTTGTCATTTGCTTGTCACAAACAAGTCAAAGTGTATCAAATGGATGTTAAGTCTACCTTTTTGAATGGAGAGTTAAATGAAGAAATATACCTAGAACAACCTGAAGGTTTTGAAGATCCCAAGTATCCCTCTTATGTTTTCAAGTTAAATAAGGCCATGTATGGTCTCAAACAGGCTCCCAGGGCTTGGTATGAAAAACTGCATCAGTTCTTGATTGAATAAGGTTTTCATAGAGGAAAAATAGATAGCACTTTTTATGTCAAGCTTCATCAAGATCAGTTCCTTATTCTTCAAATCTATATTGATGACATCATGTTTTGTGGCTCAGATACGTCTTTAGCCTCAGAGTTTGCCAATTTAATGAAAACCATATTTGAAATGTCTCTTTTGGGAACTCTTAGATACTTCTTAGGCCTTCAAATTCATCAAACCTCCAAAGGAATTTTCATTTCTCAACAAAAATATGCCTTTGAGTTACTTACAAAATTCAATATGAATGAGTGCAAATCTGTTTCAACCCCACTATGTCCTAATTCCAAGCTGTCTCTTAAGTGTACCACAGAATCAGTTACCTCTACTCTTTATAGGTCTATCATTGACAGTCTATTGTACCTCACAGCTTTCCGACCTGATATCATGTATTCTGTGGGGTTGGTAGCAAGGTTTTAAAGCAATCCAAGACTCTCTCATCTTCAGGCTGCCAAAAGAATTCTGAGATATGTCAAGGGTGCTATTTCCTATGGTCTACATTATATCTTCTAACCCACATTGCCTATTATAGCCTTTTCAGATGCCGATTAGGGTGGATCCTTACTTGACAGAAAAAGTACATCGGGATGTTGCTATCTTCTTGGTTCCAACTTAGTCTCTTGGTTAAGGAAGAAGCAAGATACTGTCTCTTTGTCTACTTCAGAAGCTGACTACATAGCTGCTTCTCAGGCTGGTTCCCAACTTCTTTGGATGCACACTACTCTTGCAGATCTTGGTCTTCAATTCTCAGGTCCTCAAGTATCAAAGTGCCATCAAGTATCACTTTCTTAGAGACAAAGTACAGAAAGGTATCATTGACATCACTTATTTACCAACTGAAAATCAACTGGCAGATATCATTAAAAAACCTCTTCTCCCTCAAAGATTGTCAACCCTTAGAGCTCTTCTCAGGGTTGTTCAACCCCCTTTCTAAGCTTCTCATTGTTGGTCCTTCTCACTTTTTGTCCTTCAATGTCAAAAAGGGGGAGAATAGACTAAAATAAGGGTAGTTTTTCAGTTATCCCTTCTCTTACTTTGCTGCTATTGTTACTATGCTTAATAATGTTCAGTATTACTTTGGTTGAGTCTGCTTCATTGAGGTCTTATTTCATGATTGAAGTTTTTGACATTAAAGACAAAAGGGGGAGATTGTTGGTCTTGAAGTCCCTTAAGCATTGTTTGCCTCTTTAATGTCAAAAATCTATGTGGCAGTGGCTTCAAAGGGCTTCTTCATTATCAATGTTGCTTGAAATAAGTCTCAAGGATAGTGTGGTCATTTTCTCATCAGTGACTTATCCTTCATATTTGTCTTAATGTATTTATCATTGCATATCTACCTGTTCTAGCTGAAATTGCTAAATTTTGTGTGGACTCAATTCATAAAATTGTCACAAATGGTTTCAGGGGTAGCATTGTCATTTCTTAGCTACATTATATATATATACGTATGCTCAAGATGCTGCATTGCACTGGATTCACTTGATTGAATCTACAATGCCACTTATACAGTCTCAGGACTTTTGTTTTGCTGAGAAGTTGAAAATCTGTTGTAAGGGTATTTCGGTACTTTCTTACTATGCACATGAGTGTGATACGTTCTAGTGGTCCTAAAGTAAGTGAATATGCAAAAATATTACATTTCATGGAGGTTAAGTCTTGAGCTGAATGGAGTGCACAGCCTTGTAGTATGTATGTATGAATTTCAGTATGTATAGTGACAAAAATGCTGAGGTGGCCTTCTGTAATTGGTTCTTGCTCCTGAAAATATTTGCATTGTGCTTTTCTAATGATTGGCTAGAGGTGACAGGTGTATTCTGAAGGTGTATGAAGTTCTGTGCACTGTATGGCTTTATATATATATATATATGCTGTCATAGCTTCTTTAGGGTTAAGGTCCTTGAGTGAGATGAAAAACTGGGCTGCAGCCTATATTCTCTTAAGAGTATTGAATGAACTTGATTCACTGAGTGTATTTATGATGATTTATGCTATAAAATCTCTCCAATTCAAGCTTTGCTGAAGTATTTTATTAAGGAGATGTTGTTGCTGTTGTTATTGCTGCTGCAAGGGCTGGATTAAGTAATGAATTTGAGTTCAAAGGTGTTGTGGTCGAGTCTATGGGCTGACACAGGTATAATTCACTTATTTACACTTGCTCAGTACAAAGCTTTGTTGAAAAACCTGCTGAAATCATACTTGGATAGTAAGCTCATCTGTGTTGCTTGATCTACTGACAGATTCTTGGATTTAAGTACTATTTGATTATGTCTTGTTGTATTATAAGTTTTTAATCTTCTAGCAAGTATATTTTGATGAATCTAGTCTGTTGAAGTTGAATTTGTGATAGCATTTTGGTTAGCTGAAATTTTCAGTATTCAAACCCTATGACTTAAACTGAGTTTTGTTGAACCAAGGGCTGCTATGAACTTTATGATCATCTCATGCTACAATTCATTGTTTTAAGTTATGATCTTCAGTACCACAGTGAATGAAGACTGAATATGATGCAATTGATTGATTCTCGAAAGGAAATTCCCTTTTTACGCTTTAAGTACTAATTGTTGCAAATTGATGTTATGAAGTGGTAATTTGGCATTCTGAGTTGTCTGGCCTATTTCAATTGAAGGAAGGGCTGGTGTTTATTGTATTTCATATACTTTGATGTATTTAGTGAGCTTAGAGAGCTTGTTTGGTCCTGGCAGGGTTGCCTAGGACAGGGGGAGTGTGTGTATACACTTAGTTGAGCTAGTGTGTGAGTAGAGCATGTGAAAACTGGGGTCTACTTCTGTGACAAGGGTGTGTGCAGAGAGTGAGACAGCTGAGTGTGTAACAACTTACTTGTAGCTAGTGGATGATTGAATTGGCATTGGCCAAGAACCAAGATTTTCCCTAATTAAGAGGATTTCCTTGTAATTTCTGTTGCATTATTCATTTTTTATTATTTTGAATGTTGTTAAGTTATTTTTAAA